CAGGGGGGTCAGGGCGGCAGGGAGCTCCGTGTGCAGGAAGCCATCAGTGAATAGAGCCACGCCTGTTCACAGGCTGGGCCTTTGGTACCACTCGCTCTGTGCTGCTCAGCCATGTGTGCAGATGATGCTGCGGAGAGGCCCTGCTAACTGAATTTGTAGAGTGGCACGAGGGTAATGTGCTTATGTAAAACCAGCAGCCCCAAACTACAGACTAAGAAAACCCAAAGGCCGCACGATTAGTAATAGGGAACAAACATGCTATTTTCCTTCATTTCATTTCTTGGCGTTGCCATGAAGGGTTTCCTCTCGTTCCTCAAAGTACGAGCTTTATGACAGCTGGATGTCCTCAGGGTCTGGCCTGCAGCCTTGGTGTTGGGTGGGGGTGGACCAAGGGCCCAGGAACTCCTGCTTCCAGGCCTGGCTCTGCTCTGACCTGCTGGATTCGAACCCAGGCTGGTCTGGCTGAATGCATAACTTGTGTGGTTAACCTCATAGCACTCTAGATCTGACCTAGAGGTTCTAGGGGGAGGCTGGATAAGGGGCCCTGGGGTGGGCTAGGGCCTGTGTGTGAGGGGCCACAGAGAGACTCACTTTCTCTCATGCCATTACCCTGGGCTGCCCTGTGTCTAGGCTGCCTCGTGTCCAGCCCCCTAAGGCCATAAGCATAGCCCCTGTGTGGGCTCTGCTGGTTTTGACAGTGCCTTCAGCTAACTGGCTGCAGGCATAGCCGACCTCCATGGGCTTTCCACGCTCCTGTTGCTTTTTACCTGCTTTGGGAGGCTGGTGGTTTACATACTACCAGACAGTTCTCCAAAGTGGTCTTGGGCAGTCTGGCCCAACAAAGATCCATAGCTTAGGAGCCAGCACAAACTACTTGGTGCTCAAGCTCTGGAATTTAGAGCCATTTCTGAGTTACGTTGTCCTTGGATAGTGACTTCCTGTCCCTCTCTGGGGTCAGTCATTGGGCCCTGTGGGGCATTAGAACTGGAGGCGCAGTGGGATCAATACAGGGACCCAGGCTGGTCCTCTGTTCCCTTTCCTGTCTGTGGAACTGCAGGCAAGTTGCCATCTCTTTCTGAGTCAGGGTTTCCTCATCTGTAACTTGGAGGTTATCACTTCCTTCTCTGCCTGGAGCACCAGGATGCTCTAAGAGTCAAATACTTAGCAGCTATTTGCCATAGACCTGCCACATATAGGACACTGTGCTAGATATCAGCGATCCAAAGAAACCTACCCAACAATCTCCAACCTATCAGCCAAGCTTACCAATCAACCTACCAACTAACAAACTAACCAATCAACCAACTCACTAACCCCCCTACTAAATTATTTACTTACCAACCAATCAACCTCCAACTAACAAATTTACTAATCAGTTTACCAACTAAACAATAAACCAGTAGCTCCAACTAACCAACTTCCCAATCAATCAATTTACCAAACAACCAACAAACCAATATCAATTACCAATCTGCATACCCATCAACCAACTAGCCAGCTTACCTACCTTACCTTACCAGCTTACCTACCTTACCTTACAAACCAATCAGCTAACCAACCTATCTACCAACCAATCAATCACCAACCTAGCAACCCAATTTACTAATCAACATACCAAGTAACAAACTGACCAACCAACCAACCATCTAACCCATGTACAACTAACTTATTAACCAAACAACAAACCACTAAGTCAACTAACCAATCTACTTACCAACCAATCAACCAACCAACCTACCTACCTACCAATCACACGGTGGTGCTTACCGTCTTAGGGGAGAGAGACCTTCTCTGAGGAACCCCACATGTCCATTCCCTGGACATGCCATGCCAAAATGTGTCTTTTCTGAAGGGCAGATGTGACTGTGTCATTTCTTTGCTTAAAACCCCTCCTAGCCACTCCTATGTTTTCAGCCTAAAGGAGAGGACCTTGACCGGGCCTGGCCAACAGTGGACCTGAAGAGCCACTTTGCTGTGCTGGGAAGCGACTGGGCGCGTTATTCTCATGGTATGAGTCACACAGGTAGGTGGATGTGACTTCCTGGCAGTGGTGGCCTGCTCTGGCTGCATCCCCAGATCAGGTTTACGCTCCCCTGCTGCTAAAGGGACTCTGGTGGACCAGGTGGGCACTGCTGCTCCTCCTGCCCCCCCGCTCACGTGCCTGGAGTGGCAGGTTGTTTTTCCTGTGTCTGCAGCAACTGGCCCAGCCAGGGGCCTGGGAGGGCAAGACCACTGAATGGTGGAAGCTCATGTGGGGTCGGGGCAGAGAGAATAAAGGGAGCAGCATGAAGACCCTCCTGCCACACTGCCCTCTGCAGCTCCCGTCCTCACCCTACTCAGGGCAGAGCTCCCAACCAGGCATCTTGGCCGACCTGTGAGGACCTGGGTGTAAATGCAGGGAAGTGTGAAGCTCATGTCAGGTGCCCTCGGCCTCTGGCCCTCTCCTCAGAGGCAGAGCTGAAGGAAGGGAAGAGCATTGCCTCTGAGGCCCCATAGCTGTGTTCAGATCCCAGCTCCTTCACTTACAGCCATGCAAGTCCGGGAAAGCTAGCTCTACCATGTCAGCTTCTCCTGGTAAACCGAGGGTGATCAGAGCGACTGGTACGTGATTGTGCGCCAGTGACACACTGCACACCCGGTGCAGCTAGGCCCCGGCCACTGCGTTATGGAGGCTGTCCAGCTGAAGTTGGCAGGACAAGGGGCCTATCAGGTGGGCTTGTCACAGCTCTGGCTGCCCATTCATTTGGAGACACGGTTCCAAGGTGGGGACACCAGCAGCCTTCGGGTTACTCCACATCTCCAAAGTATAGTGTCTTATTTAACTTCAGAAACCTTGCAAAAATCACGTGTCCTATTCACTTCTCGTTTGCTACTTTCCTTTCTTCTCTTTCTCCTTTTTCTTTCTTTCCTTTCTCTCTTCCCTTTCTTTTTCCTTCTTTCTCTTTCTTTCTTCCTTTTCTTTTTTTTCTTTCTTCTTTCTTTTTCCTTTCTCTCTTCCCTTTCTCTCTTCTTTCTTTTTCTTTCTCTCTCTCTCTCTCTTTCTTTCTTTCCTTCTCTTTCTTTTTTCCCCCAAGAAACTCACCAATCAAACCTAGCAGAAAACTGCTAGGCCTTTAAGTTGGAATTCTCAACATAAGCATCGAAGTCTAGTAAACTTGCCCTCCCAGCTGAAGTCTCAGAATGAGATGCAAATTTTCAAAGGGAAGTTGATCAGGTTTTTAAAATTCACTCACAATGAGAGTATAAAAAGATGAATTTGGGGAAATAAAGGCAGAATTGTTTTCATTTTATTTTTTTCTTTTCTGCCAGAAGTAACATGCACTCACCAGAAAGAGGGAGAGGAAGGAAGTACCCCCAATGGGGCTTGGTAGTGCCGTAACCCCTTCTCCTCCATTTCTCCATCCCACCAGGACTTGGGCATGCGCCTGTGTGTGGTGTGTTTTTCAAGTGGCTAGGCTGGGATTTGAACCTTGGTCAGTCATGTGGGTTCCTGCTCCCTATACATAGGGCTTAACTGCTGCACTACAGGACTGGCCCTAAAGGGAGAGATTTTGGGGGAAGATATCCTTGGAAGTGTTCCCCCAGTCCTCCTCCCATGTGGACCTGAACTTCAGTGAGAGGCTCTCTATGACTCCCCTACAGTGTGGACATGGGCCTGCTGTCAGCCCTGTGAGAGAGGACAGCTCTGAGGAGCCTGGCTGGGCTGGCTGAGTGGACAGAGGCCTGCACTCCAGGACACTAGAGTCAAGGACACACACGTGTTCCATCGACCCGACGTGGGCCCCACATAGTCAGGGGACACATTGTGAGTGGCTGGACCCCACCTAAGAGAGTGACAGCTGAACTCACCCTGGCAGGAAGGACTTCTAGGGCTGTGGAGGGCTGTGACCAGGCAGAGGGACACATATACCAGATCAAGGGGACTCGAGGGGATGCTTTTCTGCAAGGAGTGAGCTTTACTCCTGCTCCAGGCCTGGAGTGGGAAGCCAGGGCACAGGAACGCACATTCCACCTCCTCTCCCTCCTGTCCTGATGGCCCAGACCATGGAGGGTGGACCGGGAGAGTGGGAGCGGGAGGAGGGAAGCAGCAGTGGAGCAGGCCCCTGCCAGGTGGCCAGGCCTCAGGGCCAGTAGGTCCTCCTGGGACCAGGGATGGGAAAACTAGGCCTCAGGGCCAGTAGGCCCTGCTGGGACCAGGGATGGGAAAACTAACCTTAAGTCACCTTTGGAGTTTTGATAAGGCCCTAGACACTTGGACTGAGCGGACACTAGAACTCCCTGCTCCCTAGTGGGCTCTATTCGGAGGCAGGCAGGTGGTCTCCACATTCCTGCAGGGTCTCTGCAGGGAAAGCTTACCACCTTTTTGTGGTAAGGCAGGGGAGGACCATCTCAGTGGCCTTTGAGGCTTGCTTCACACGAATGGGAAGTGGTGCTGAGAGGCCGTCTGCAGGGCGGTCGTGGCGGCAGGGAGCTCCGTGTGCAGGAAGCCATCAGTGAATAGAGCCACGCCTGTTCACAGGCTGGGCCTTTGGTACCACTCGCTCTGTGCTGCTCAGCCATGTGTGCAGATGATGCTGCGGAGAGGCCCTGCTAACTGAATTTGTAGAGTGGCACGAGGGTAATGTGCTTATGTAAAACCAGCAGCCCCAAACTACAGACTAAGAAAACCCAAAGGCCGCACGATTAGTAATAGGGAACAAACATGCTATTTTCCTTCATTTCATTTCTTGGCGTTGCCATGAAGGGTTTCCTCTCGTTCCTCAAAGTACGAGCTTTATGACAGCTGGATGTCCTCAGGGTCTGGCCTGCAGCCTTGGTGTTGGGTGGGGGTGGACCAAGGGCCCAGGAACTCCTGCTTCCAGGCCTGGCTCTGCTCTGACCTGCTGGATTCGAACCCAGGCTGGTCTGGCTGAATGCATAACTTGTGTGGTTAACCTCATAGCACTCTAGATCTGACCTAGAGGGTTCTAGGGGGAGGCTGGATAAGGGGCCCTGGGGTGGGCTAGGGCCTGTGTGTGAGGGGCCACAGAGAGACTCACTTTCTCTCATGCCATTACCCTGGGCTGCCCTGTGTCTAGGCTGCCTCGTGTCCAGCCCCCTAAGGCCATAAGCATAGCCCCTGTGTGGGCTCTGCTGGTTTTGACAGTGCCTTCAGCTAACTGGCTGCAGGCATAGCCGACCTCCATGGGCTTTCCACGCTCCTGTTGCTTTTTACCTGCTTTGGGAGGCTGGTGGTTTACATACTACCAGACAGTTCTCCAAAGTGGTCTTGGGCAGTCTGGCCCAACAAAGATCCATAGCTTAGGAGCCAGCACAAACTACTTGGTGCTCAAGCTCTGGAATTTAGAGCCATTTCTGAGTTACGTTGTCCTTGGAGTGACTTCCTGTCCCTCTCTGGGGTCAGTCATTGGGCCCTGTGGGGCAATAGAACTGGAGGCGCAGTGGGATCAATACAGGGACCCAGGCTGGTCCTCTGTTCCCTTTCCTGTCTGTGGAACTGCAGGCAAGTTGCCATCTCTTTCTGAGTCAGGGTTTCCTCATCTGTAACTTGGAGGTTATCACTTCCTTCTCTGCCTGGAGCACCAGGATGCTCTAAGAGTCAAATACTTAGCAGCTATTTGCCATAGACCTGCCACATATAGGACACTGTGCTAGATATCAGCGATCCAAAGAAACCTACCCAACAATCTCCAACCTATCAGCCAAGCTTACCAATCAACCTACCAACTAACAAACTAACCAATCAACCAACTCACTAACCCCCCTACTAAATTATTTACTTACCAACCAATCAACCTCCAACTAACAAATTTACTAATCAGTTTACCAACTAAACAATAAACCAGTATCGGCTGGTGGCCCACCCACCTACTAGCCACACTACCCACCCACCAACCAATATCAATTACCAATCTGCATACCCATCAACCAACTAGCCAGCTTACCTACCTTACCTTACCAGCTTACCTACCTTACCCTACAAACCAATCAGCTAACCAACCTATCTACCAACCAATCAATCACCAACCTAGCAACCCAATTTACTAATCAACATACCAAGTAACAAACTGACCAACCAACCAACCATCTAACCCATGTACAACTAACTTATTAACCAAACAACAAACCACTAAGTCAACTAACCAATCTACTTACCAACCAACCAACCAACCAACCTACCTACCTACCAATCACACGGTGGTGCTTACCGTCTTAGGGGAGAGAGACCTTCTCTGAGGAACCCCACATGTCCATTCCCTGGACATGCCATGCCAAAATGTGTCTTTTCTGAAGGGCAGATGTGACTGTGTCATTTCTTTGCTTAAAACCCCTCCTAGCCACTCCTGTGGCACTCTTTGACTGGCCGATGTCGTCGCTCACGTGCCTGGAGTGGCAGTTTGTTTTTCCTGTGTCTGCAGCAACTGGCCCAGCCAGGGGCCTGGGAGGGCAAGACCACTGAATGGTGGAAGCTCATGTGGGGTCGGGGCAGAGAGAATAAAGGGAGCAGCATGAAGACCCTCCTGCCACACTGCCCTCTGCAGCTCCCGTCCTCACCCTACTCAGGGCAGAGCTCCCAACCAGGCATCTTGGCCGACCTGTGAGGACCTGGGTGTAAATGCAGGGAAGTGTGAAGCTCATGTCAGGTGCCCTCGGCCTCTGGCCCTCTCCTCAGAGGCAGAGCTGAAGGAAGGGAAGAGCATTGCCTCTGAGGCCCCATAGCTGTGTTCAGATCCCAGCTCCTTCACTTACAGCCATGCAAGTCCGGGAAAGCTAGCTCTACCATGTCAGCTTCTCCTGGTAAACCGAGGGTGATCAGAGCGACTGGTACGTGATTGTGCGCCAGTGACACACTGCACACCCGGTGCAGCTAGGCCCCGGCCACTGCGTTATGGAGGCTGTCCAGCTGAAGTTGGCAGGACAAGGGGCCTATCAGGTGGGCTTGTCACAGCTCTGGCTGCCCATTCATTTGGAGACACGGTTCCAAGGTGGGGACACCAGCAGCCTTCGGGTTACTCCACATCTCCAAAGTATAGTGTCTTATTTAACTTCAGAAACCTTGCAAAAATCACGTGTCCTATTCACTTCTCGTTTGCTACTTTCCTTTCTTCTCTTTCTCCTTTTTCTTTCTTTCCTTTCTCTCTTCCCTTTCTTTTTCCTTCTTTCTCTTTCTTTCTTCCTTTCTTTTTCTTTCTTTCTTCTTTCTTTTTCCTTTCTCTCTTCCCTTTCTCTCTTCTTTCTTTTTCTTTCTCTCTCTCTCTCTCTTTCTTTCTTTCCTTCTCTTTCTTTTTTCCCCCAAGAAACTCACCAATCAAACCTAGCAGAAAACTGCTAGGCCTTTAAGTTGGAATTCTCAACATAAGCATCGAAGTCTAGTAAACTTGCCCTCCCAGCTGAAGTCTCAGAATGAGATGCAAATTTTCAAAGGGAAGTTGATCAGGTTTTTAAAATTCACTCACAATGAGAGTATAAAAAGATGAATTTGGGGAAATAAAGGCAGAATTGTTTTCATTTTATTTTTTTCTTTTCTGCCAGAAGTAACATGCACTCACCAGAAAGAGGGAGAGGAAGGAAGTACCCCCAATGGGGCTTGGTAGTGCCGTAACCCCTTCTCCTCCATTTCTCCATCCCACCAGGACTTGGGCATGCGCCTGTGTGTGGTGTGTTTTTCAAGTGGCTAGGCTGGGATTTGAACCTTGGTCAGTCATGTGGGTTCCTGCTCCCTATACATAGGGCTTAACTGCTGCACTACAGGACTGGCCCTAAAGGGAGAGATTTTGGGGGAAGATATCCTTGGAAGTGTTCCCCCAGTCCTCCTCCCATGTGGACCTGAACTTCAGTGAGAGGCTCTCTATGACTCCCCTACAGTGTGGACATGGGCCTGCTGTCAGCCCTGTGAGAGAGGACAGCTCTGAGGAGCCTGGCTGGGCTGGCTGAGTGGACAGAGGCCTGCACTCCAGGACACTAGAGTCAAGGACACACACGTGTTCCATCGACCCGACGTGGGCCCCACATAGTCAGGGGACACATTGTGAGTGGCTGGACCCCACCTAAGAGAGTGACAGCTGAACTCACCCTGGCAGGAAGGACTTCTAGGGCTGTGGAGGGCTGTGACCAGGCAGAGGGACACATATACCAGATCAAGGGGACTCGAGGGGATGCTTTTCTGCAAGGAGTGAGCTTTACTCCTGCTCCAGGCCTGGAGTGGGAAGCCAGGGCACAGGAACGCACATTCCACCTCCTCTCCCTCCTGTCCTGATGGCCCAGACCCTGTAGGGTGGACCGGGAGAGTGGGAGCGGGAGGAGGGAAGCAGCAGTGGAGCAGGCCCCTGCCAGGTGGCCAGGCCTCAGGGCCAGTAGGTCCTCCTGGGACCAGGGATGGGAAAACTAACCTTAAGTCACCTTTGGAGTTTTGATAAGGCCCTAGACACTTGGAGTTGCGAGGTGACACTGTGGTGATGACAGCCTGGAGCAGCTTCTGTGGGCTGGTGGGGGCTCTGGGACATGGAGACTGCCAGGGCAGGAAGTGCTCTTCCCATGGAGCATGCTGTAAAGGGGCAGTTGGGACTGTGACTGTCCCTGTGACCCGGCTTGCTGTTCCTTCAGCTCGCAAGCCACACACCGAGGGAGAAGAAGGAGGGGACGCTCTGCCTCTGACTCAGTGCCGGATTTGGATGGTCCCTACCCTTCCTGCCTGGGATCTCCCAGTCTGTGAGGAGATGCTCTGTTCTGTCATCTGGGCTCCAATGCCCACCTCGGGGACAAGTGTTGGGGCCAAGCACTTTCCCCTTCCCTCCAAGACGCCTGGTCTTCAAAGCCAAAGGACTGGAAACCCCTGCCCTGTCCTCACACTTCTGCTGGGAGGGAAAGGAGCCAGGCCCCAAAGCAGGTGTGCTCCCAGGTTGGCTGTCGGTGGTCCCTGAGCAGGTGGCACTGCTGTCCTTCCCAAGTGGCCATGGAAGCCTCTTGACAGCGGTCACCTGGAGGAGGTGGTTAGTGGGTACCTGGGGAAAAGGTCCCAACCTAGAAGGCATGGCCAGGACCCCTGCTGGGCAGCCAGGGGTGTTCTACAGAGGAGCAGGGTTGCTGGTTTGAGGGCCGGCAGGAGCAGAGGCTGGGGGCACCAGGACTCAGAACATGCAGGACCTCTGAGGCCTGAGCAAGGACTGGCCAGCAAGGCAGGGTCGAAGGCCGGGGGTCTCCTAGCCCAGGAACGGCAGTCCGATGAGGGTGGGAGAGCACACAGGGGGGCAGCAGTGGAGGGTCCAGCTGGGTACTGACCAGGAGAGCCAGCCAGGCTGAGCCCCACTGGCCCAGCACACGGCCTGACCTTGCAGTCTAAGGGAGAGCATCCTAGCCAGGTCCAGGGCTCCGTCTGTCCAGGGACCACTGGGGCCACAGCAGCCACACCAAGGGATGACGTGAAGACAGTGACGGGACAGCCTCTGTCCTCGAGCGCTTACCAAAGCCCAGGCAGCATTAATGCTCTGTGTGAGGCGTCCTCACATCAGTCACCCCATTCTATGGATGGGGAGCCTAGGGTGCAGAGTGGTTCAGTGTCTCGCACAAGGTCCCAAGGCTAGTGAGAGGCAGAGTGGGATTTAAGGTCAAGTGCACCTGACGGTAAGACCCGTGCCTGGCAGAAAGAACTACAGAATGGGAGGGAAAGTTTTTCGATTTTTGCCCATGAAGCCTGAGATTTCTGTGTGTGTGTGTCGGGGGGAGAGGGCAGTGGAGGGCGGAGGGCAGGGGCGGGGGTGGGCTCTGTTAATTGTTGAACCACCGCGCTGAGCACAGTGGGCACCCACACGGTGCTCGCCAGCTCCTTCCAGGCCCGTGGTTATCAAATCATGCAATGAGCATCTATTCAGAGCCAGACCCTGGAGACCAGCAGATGGCGGAATGATGACATCGCCGGACTCACGTGTAGTCAACAGCGGGTTTGTGTCCTTGCCCTGGCAGCTTAAACCTCATGCCGGGCACCTGTGCATGCCTGCCCAAGATCCTGAGAGGAGAATAGCAGAGAAGGGCCATCCCCTGGGGGGTGATTCCTCACTTTCTGTCTCTCTATCTCTGTATTTCTAGCAAGAGCACGAGAGCGGCATATAACAAAAATCTTTCTCAAAAAAAAACAAAGGAAAAGAGCCAGACCCTTTGCTGGTGCTGTAGGTAACGGGGGGTGGGGTGGGAAGCAAAATTAAGATTTAATGCCTGTCCTCCAAATTTTCTATTTAGCAGAAAAGTGTTGGTGGACAAGACATTTGTAGGAAATGTAGCTGTCTGGAGAGAGATTTGCAATAGGGCATGTGTGCTTACTGGAGAGAGAGAGAGACAGAAAGTGAGAAATCACCCCTCAGGGAGGATGGGAATGTTGTAATCCCGTCTCTTCCATTCTCCTCGTGGGATGTTGGGCACACACGCACAAGTACCCAAGGTGAGTTTCAAGTCACTGGGTCTGGGACTTGAACCTCAGTTGAGCACATGAGAACCCAGCACCTTAATCACTATGCCACCTGCTGGCCCTGTTCAATGTTTATTAATATGTTTGTAGCTGTTTTATAACACTATTGCTGGTCTTTGTAAAAACCCAAAGGTATTCTAGCTTTTATGTTTGGCCATTTTCCAGACAGGCACCCAAGTGCATGGAGGGCGGTTGGCCGGCTCCGGGGAGGGGCTGAGCCGGGTCCCTGAGGGCCAACTGCATTTTCTGGATTCCCAAGGACTGGCATTGCGTATGTAACGTTTGTGTTTTCTCCTCATTTGAATAGTATATAACCTTCGGAAGGGACTTGTTGTTCGTTAACATTGGCTGGGTGCCCGAGTGCTATATGGGATTCGTTTAAACTAGGGCTTTGGCAAATTTGATTTTTACTGAAAATTACCCATTTTTTAACATTTAAAATGTTATCGAGCCATGTGGCCATTGCTGTCTTGGGCAGAAAACATCTTGGATGAATTTGCATTTTTAATTCTTGGCATTTTTATTGTGCTTCAGTTCCCAAGGAGTAATTTTTTTTTTCCTTCCTTAGAAAAAGAAAAAAAGTAAAGAAAGAAGGCACCCAGCAGGGCCGGAGTGCCAAGAGAACGCACTAATAGTAGTGGTGTATGTTCCCTAGCTGCCAATTGCACCAAATTTTACCATGTGCTCCCGGAGCAGAGCCTCCTCTAGTCTCCTGACCAATTTCTCCTGCAGCCACTTAAGACAGGTGAGAGGATCATTCCTCAACGAGCCGGCTTGTCCAAGAGTAGCCGCTTTGGAGGCCCGACTCTGCCTGGCAAGTGCTTGGGAAGGCAGCACCTCGGGGCCTGCGTTCTTTGACACAAACCGTGCTTTTGCAATCTCCGTGGTGCTGGCCACTGACGCTGGCCCAGTGCACCTGCAGGCTCGGGGGAGTTGGGCCCCAGGGAGTCAGAGCTGGGCAGGACTTTAAAGGACAGGGAACTATATTCAAGATGGGGAAACAGGCTGGGAGGATGAGGAGGGAGTGGGGGCTCTTGGTTTCTTATCCAGCAATGGTTTCTTGAGCACCTGCTATGTGCCAAGTAGTAGAGAAGTCAGGCACAGTTCTGCCCTAAGGGGGAGAGGGGGGCGATGGATGGTGGAATACTGGAGCAGGAAGAGAAGTGCTAGGAGGGCAAGAGTGGGGACGGGTGTATGAGTGCGGTTGGGGGTAGGAGCTCAGAGCCAGGGTCCATTCCCACTGTCCTTGCACCCCTGGCAGGCACCATCTCACAGATGAAGACGCGAGGCCCAGCTGTGTCTCACGTCTGCTCTGCGGGGCGGGTCTCAGGTTCGCCCTGTGGACGAGCGAGCTGTGCACTCCATATAGTGAACGCCATGGCCGTTGCTTGTGCTAGACCCTGGGGACTCAGGGGTGAGTGAGGCAGGCAGGAGCCCTGTCGGCGTGGACGGACCTTCAGTAACGGGAACGCAGACCTCCAACTACGGGACCCATGAGGCAATGGCATCAGATGCCATCAACCTGCCCAGGGCAACCAACACAGTCAGTGGGAGCAATTGACCTCGCGAGCCGTGGAAGCTGCTGGAAAGGTCTGGAAGCGAACGTCGTGTATCCCACGGATGGAATCCCAAGAAAGAAGGTCCCAGGCCAGCCAGGGTGGATGTGCGCTAAGTATACTCTCTACTTGGACTCCACCTGCTTGCTGTGTGCCTCCAGGCAAGTTACTCAACCTGTCTGGGCTCTGCTTTTATGTCTGTAATAACGGGATCGAAGCATCTGCCACCTCAGACTGCCGTGTGGACTGAAGACATCTCCCTCTCTTTCTCGCTCTGTCCACTTGACCGAGTGCCCCAGGGCGGGCTCTCTTCCTCTCCTGGAGCCACTGGACGTCCACATGTGCCACTCCCCCTTCCCTCCAGCGATTCTGTGAGGCCATTCAGTCTGCTTGGAGAAGTGCGGAAGCCACATTTGAATTTGTTAAAAAAACAAAAAACAAAAAACAACAAAAGCCCCAAACCAAACAAACACTGCACAGCACGGACGCTGTTTCCTTCAGCCGGCGCCTTCTGCAATATGGTGCGGTGGCCGGGAAAGCGTGGCCACAGATGGCGAGCTCGGAACCAGCCCTGTTTTCTAAATACCCGGCTCCTCAGTGTAAATGATCGTGTCAGACACATGGTGCTGCCTGGCTCCCGGGAGGCCCGGCTCCAGCTCGTTCTTGGCCTGCTGCCCCACCCGCTCTCTCCCTCCAGATGGCTGACACCGGAATCTCTCAAGACACGATGCTGATGCCCTGTTAGCAACAGGGTGGACTCTCCAGCCTGCGGTGAACCTTGAGATTGGCTCTCCCACCTGTGGCCTCGGGGCTCAAACCCTGGAGGGCAGGGACTAGTGCCTGCATAGAGCAGGTGAGGAGACTACGTGAGGACAGTGTGCAACCAGTCATTGGTGAGGCGGAGACTTGAACCCGGCACTTCCGCAGCTGTGTGCTCGAAGTTTGTCTTCCTTCCAGGAAAGCTGTGCGTTCTCAGGAGGACTCTACTGGATACCCCTGTCGAAGGCGCCAGGCCCCAGGGTACAGAACTTTCTTCTCAGCTGAAGAAGTCTGGGCTTTTGTGCTCTCTGGCCTGCAGAGAGAATGGAGTGCCCAGGATTCTACATCCTTGACACTGAATGCTTTCTTCAACTTGCACTAGTGACTTCACTGTACTGAAGACAAAGCTCAATTTACTTCTCTGTAAAATGGAAATAAATGTCCCAGGATTTACTCAAACCTGTGTTATTGTGGTCAAGACTTAAAGTTTTGGGAGGAAGAATGACTTTCTTGGCCATATCAGCTGAGGAGTCTCATACAGTCCTGTCTCTAGAAGGACACTCATTGCTCAGGTATTGCCATATTGAGATGGCACGAGGTGCCACACGCTTTCATTTTGTTCTATGCCCCATAAATTATGTAATAAGTCCTGCTTTGGTCAAGTGAGTGCTTTGATGGACAGTCTTATCAAAATGGCCTATGTTGATTAAGTAGTTTCCTAACCAATACTGGGAGATGTCACCATGGCGGGGGGTGAATGCTAGGCACGCAGGCCTGCAGACAAAAACAGTAGCTGCTCATTACAGTCCGTACCTTGTCAGCTGAACACTCCCACACCCTTTCCCCATACCTGGAGCTTTCCCTCGCATCACTTCTACCCACATTTTTATTGACCAGAAGTAGTTAGCAGACCTTGACATAAGTGCAAGGGAGGTTGGAAAAGTGCTCAGGGTGTGGAAATGAGGTGAAAGAACATTAAGCCAGTTTTTGCCACAGCCCTTTTGCCCATAACCGTAAGCCACCCCAAATTACAAGCTATGTAGTGTATATTATGTATTGTGGAACGATTGTCGATGGGCGAGAAAGGAATGGGCAGCTGAGATTGAGAATGAAGGAAGAAAAGAAAAGAAAACTAAATAGGTGCCTTATATAAACACATGATGGCAAAATGCTTTTCAAATGAGGATTATTGTTGACACAGCTCTCTACATTCGAGGTAAAAAACAAATTAAAAATAGTTAATGGAATTAAAAGCAAAACCTCTCAGTAGATGCCTCAGTGATTAGCCAGACACAGCTGAGAAAAGAATAATTGAATAAAAAGATTGAACTAATTAACTCTTTCAGATTCTAGTACATAAACTTAGAGACATAAACTATTACAGGCCTGGAACATAGAGAGAGAACCTAAGAAAATTTAAATATAGGAGTGTTTTAGCATATGATAATAAAATGGAAAATATAGAATAGATGGTAAATTTGAAAGAAATATTGATTATGAGAGAAATGAAAGATATAAAATATAAAATGAAAAACTTCGATATAAATCTAACAGTTGTGAATTGTTGAAATAGAAAATATAAAAGAGAACTGAAGAGACACAGAAGATAGAAATGAATCTTCAAAGTCTGTCAAGAGAGAAAGACTTGAGTAAAGACAATGAGCCGATTCTTAAAGCTATAGTAGGTGAGAATTTTTCAGAAGTGTAGAGAGACTCATTAATTACCACATTTAGACATTTTTAGCAAAATTGCAGAATATCAAGGAAAAAAAAATCCTGAGGGCCACTAGAAAATAAAACGTTTTAATTTTAACAGAGTAGCAATTAGACTACTAACCAGCTTCTAAACAACAACAATATAGAACAGAAAGAAATGGAATAATATCTTTGAAGTTGAGAGAAAATAATTGTGAATATTTTTTCTTTTTTTCTTTTTTTTTTTTTGGAGAGGTTTTCGCTATAGGGAGCATGTGCTCCCCAGCCAGACAAAGACAGACAGAGAGACAGAAAGTGAGAAATCCCCCCCCCCCCAGGGGGGATGGCCACTCCGCAATCCCTTCTCCTCCACACTCCTCTCGGGATCTTGGGCACGCATGCACACGTGCCCAGCGTGAGTTTTAAACCACCAGGTCCGGGACGTGAACCGTGGTCGACCACGTGGGAGTCCAGCGACATAGCCATTAGGCTAACTGCTGGTCCCAGTGAATCTTTAATTCTATACCCAACCAAACTATAATTTGAGAGTGAGGACAACACAGAGATATTTTTAGATAAATTGTAACATAGAATAGATACTACATGTGGATGCTCCCTATCATAATTGTTAAGTGAAATGCCTAAGCAAGAAGAAAAATTCCAGCGAGAAAGAGTAGAATACAGAATAAACTATATTAAAATTTAATAATAAACACTAGAATGATAGAATGAATAGCTTCTAGACAAATAAAAGAAAGTAAAAGGATTATTGAAAAATGTTATCAATCCCACAAAAGAAATAAAAGGAAGGCCAGCCATATGGTCTGGTGATTGAGGGAGCTACATCCCTCAATCATGAAGTTGATCCTGAACACAGCTGATCATGAAGTTTGAATCCTGAACACAGCAGCTTGAAAAATATGTTGGATGTGTGAACATGTATGCCCCAAATGCTGATAAGAATAGAAAAATGGAGAAGAAAAGATTGTGGCATGAACACACCTCATTGGTGCATGCTTTTACCCATCCTCTTGTGTCTCTTGTCTCTCAGTTTCTCTCTGGTGAGTGCATGTGCTCTCTGGAAAATTGGGGAAGAAAAAAAGAAACAAAAAGAGAAAAACAGGAACCAGCAGATAGCATAATGGTTATATCACTGGACTCCCATGTAGTCTACTGCAGTTCAAGTTCTAGACCCAGTGGCTTAAAACTCATGCTGGGCACTTGT